TGGTCAAGTAAGTGCCTTAATGCCCTGAGTTTTAACTCTTTACTTTGTGAAATGGGGGTAATAAGTAATTGTCTTATGGCTGTTGCATAGATTAAAGATAATTTAGGAATTGTGGATTCCGATTCCAACTCCATCTCTGATGTATTGGGCACTTTGTGTGGAGGAACATCAGAGCTATGAACTTCGGTTTCCCATCCACAGAATGGGAGAAGTAAGATCTAACTGGGGAGTCCAGCAGGTGCAATTATGAACCCGATATTGCCACTCACATGCTTACAAGACTCTGGGCAAGTTCTTTAGCTTTAACTTGAAATAACACAGCAAAGGGGCATGGTGCAAACACAGGTCCTCTATTGGCTTCCTAGGGCTGCCATACAAGGTGTCACAGCACCTTGATTCTTAAACAACAGGAATGTATGGGCTCAACACTTCGGAGGCTACAAGATCGAGGTGCGGGCAATGTGGGTTCCCGCTGAGAATGCTGTGGGAGAATCTGTTCCAGGCCTCTCTCCTGGCTCCTGATGGCTTGCTGGCCACTGTTGGCTTTCCATGGCTTCTGCTGCATCACCCTGGCCTCTGCCTTCATCGTCACATGGCATCCTCCCTGTGTGTCTTCACATTGTCCTCCCTCTGTGTGTGTCTGCCTCAGGGTCCAAATTTCCCCTTTTTATGAGGACGCCAGTCATATCGTTTCAGGGCCCACCCCAATGACTTCATTTTAACTTGATCATCTCTGCAAAACCCTATTTCCAAAGGAGATCACATTCTGAGGTGGTGGCGTTAGGGCTTCAACCCAGCTTCTTTTTGGTGGTGGTGGTGGGGGGGGGGGGGGGGATACAATTCAACCCATGACAGGCGCTTTGCACGTGTTCGTTTTCTTTCCTCATCAAAGTGCCCTGTCAATCAAGATTAAATACCCTGATCACTGCTTGGAACAGAGCAGACACTCAATCAATATTTGTTGAATAAATAAATGCATGGATGGGCCTAAGATCTCATGGTGTTCTGAATTGTTCACAGTTCTCCACTGACCCAGTAAATAGTCTCCCTTTTAAAAGAGTGATCTCAAGATCTTCTGACAAGAATATAAAGTTCATACGAATGGCTCCAGGCAGTTTCAAGAGCAGAGATCTGATATCCCTTTGAATGTGCACTGTGCTATTCCCACAGTCTGAGAACTTGCAGGACCGTCTTTCATTCCTGGAAAGGCTTTCCTTTGCCACAAAGAATTAATTGCTCTGGCAAAGGCTGGAACACTTCCTGCAGTTACTTACAAAGAGGTTCCCACCATGAACAGGTGCTGGAAGGTGAGATGAGAACACGGCGGTGAGTAATGGGGCAGGTAGGATCCTACAGCCCTCAGCCCCAGACACCCACTAAGTCAGGAAGCTATAACCAAGTGGGGGAATGCCATCTCTTCTTTTTTTTTTTTTTAAATATATATATATTTTATTGATTTTTTACAGAGAGGAAGGGAGAAGGATAAAGAGTTAGAAACATCCATGAGAGAGAAACATGGATCAGCCGCCTCCTGCACATCTCCTACTGGGGATGTGCCCACAACCCAGGTACATGCCCTTGACCGGAATCGAACCTGGGACCCTTCAGTCCGCAGGCCAACGCTCTATCCACTGAGCCAAACCAGTTTCGGCGCCATGTCTTCTTAATTCTTTTTAAAAAAATACATATTTTTACTGATTTCAGAGAGGAAGGGAGAGGGATAGAGAGATAGAAACACCAATGATGAGAGAGAATCATTGATCGGCTGTCTCCTGCTCGTTCTCCCCCCCCCCCCCCCCCCCACCGGGAACCGAGCCCGCAACCCAGGCATATGCCCTTGACCGGAATCAAACCTGTGACCCTTTAGTCCGCAGGCTGATGCTCTATCCGCTGAGCCAAGCCGGCTAGGGCTCTTCTTAATTCCTCGCCCTTCAGGCCAGGGGGCCCGCATACCTTGAGTGCTTATGATGGGCCAGAAATGCTCCTTTTGATACAGCAAAGTGACTCCAAGTCTACTCTCTGGAGTTGGGCCTCTGCAGTCTACTCTTGGCCCACCACTGCCTCGCTGTGTGCTCTCCAGCAAGTTACTTAACTTCTCTGTGTCTCAGTTATCCCTGTTTGTAATTTGGGGGTAATCATAGTATCTACCTCATAGCAGAGGTAATTTAACACATGCAATATACTTCCCACGGTGCATTAGAATCGTGTTAGCCATGATTGTTTTCTTGTATTTTGCTGAGGACACGGCTGCTGCTGAGGCTGGTCATGGGGAGGTGAATTCTAGTGGCCAGGTTTTAGTAAGATCGAATAAAATAAGAGGAGTCTCTTCTCAACTTGCTAGAACCCGACCCTCTCTCCTTGTTCTTTTTTCATGTCTCTGCTTTCCCTCCTTACGATTTTGAATGCTCACCAAGGGTTATTTTGTTAATTCCTCCAGCAAGCCTTTGAAATAGGGATTGTAAGCTCTGTCTCATGGGTAAGGAACCTGAGACTCAGACAGGTAAGGTGACGTGTAGGTGCTGAAGCTAGAATTCAAGGCAGGTGTGTTTGACGGCAAGGCCACAGATTGGGAGATGGGTCTGATGGGGGTGAAATTTGCCCGACCCTCCCTCCCCACAATTCTTCATCCTTTGGACTTCCCCTTAGGACCTAAGCACAAAGTTCTCCACCAGATCACCTGCCCTGGACAATGTTTCCACTCTATCCTATCATCAAAGCCAGCCCCCTGAACAGGCCCCAGGAAACCCATTTACCCACGGGGTCAATGATTAATGACAAAGGCCACCCATTAGGACAGAGGGTTCTCATCCGGGAGTGCTTTGAATCGTCATGGAAACTCTGGGAGGTGAGTGGTGTCCTCCCCAACTCCACAGGTGAGCAACCTAAGGCTCAGAGAAGTTCTGTAACTGGTCATACGCTAGGTCAGAACTTAGCTTTGAACCTTGGCCTGCCTCCCTGGTTTCTTCCACTCACACCCTTTTTCAACACCGCCTGTTTCCTCTGCTCCCCTGCAGGGCAGCCTGGGCTGATATTGGACGCTGGGGCTCTCTGTCCCCATACTGCAGGGGCCAGCAGGTCTTTGGGACCAGCTGGGCTTCCAGGGGAGTGCAGACAGCAGTGTCAGGACATCTTTGCTCAGGGGTGGGAGGGTACAGTGGTTAGGGACCATGTATCAACAGAGCTCCCTGCAGGGGAGGCTGGGACTGGATGGTAAAAGTCTGTAGGAAAGCCATCTCATTTGTATCATTCTCTTTTCTTTCTCTTTAGCATAGACAACAGGTTCTGGAATTCTCTGGCCTCTCTGAGTGCCTGGCCATTGGGATTTGGAGGCTCCTGAGCTTAGTCTTCTACTCTCCCTTGCAAGCCCACAAGTAGCCACCAGCTTCCTGGTTGTTTTGGAACTGCACGCAAAGGGCGCAGCATGATGGAGCAGAAAGGGCTCTGAAAATGGCCGGCTGTGCAACCTGAGGCAGATGAATTTACCTCTCTGATCCTCAGTCTCCTCATTAGCAAATGATCTCTACTTGCATAGGTTATCATGAAGATTCAGCTAGATAATGCACATAGAGCAGTTTGGCAGGGCTTGGCACATAGTAAGCACTCAATAAACATGCACCCACCGTTATTAATGTAGAAATGGTGCTGTCATTAACAACTGAAATCTTGGTGAAGATTTTCTTGTTGGTGGAGGGTCCAAGAACTAGGTGGAATAGGAATGGTGGTGAGCGGAGAGAGAATGTTCTTTGCCTACCCTACTGGCACGCATCCCAAAACACACATGCCCAAGGCCAGCTCAGGAAATGACAAACAATTATTGTCACTAACTCCTCCTGGGGAGACAGGGTATTCTTTTCTTTTCTTCTTCTTCTTTTTTTAATCCTCACGCAAAGATTTTTTCATTGATTTTTAAGAGAGTGGAAGAGAGAGGGAAAGATAGAGAGACATATCAATGAGAGAAACACATCGATTGGTTGCCTCTTGCATGAGCCCTGACCAGGGCCCAGGCCGGGGAGGAGCGTGCAACCGAGGTACATGCCCTTGCCTGGAATTGAACCTGGGACCCTTCAGTCCACAGGCTGACACTCTATCCACTGAGCCAAACCAGCTAGGGTGAGACAGGATTCCACTTGGCCTTGTCTTAACGGTGTGGGCAACACATGCCCGCATCCACTCACACTTTCTCTCTCAGCACCAGGAGTCCATAAAGCCAATAGCGTGGGTGTCACCGAGTTACCCTGGAAGGACCTTATAAGAGAAAAAGAGAGGCACCCAGATTTCAAGAACAGCTAATTGCACCCACACTTATACCTTAATCTCTCTTTGCATGAGGCCACAGGAGATGTGGCCTGTGCATGTCCATTGTTTGGGGGCTCGGCAGTGCCCTGAGCTCCTGGGCTGCAGGGGTGTTAGGAATATTCCAGTTCTACCAGCTCATTTCAGGGAAAGTGAAGTTCTGAGAGGCAGGACCTGGTTCAACAACACAGGGTCCACCCCCTGTGCTCCGGTGACAGAGTTCGCACCTCCCTCCCGACAAAGGTACTGTCAACCGTAGCGACAGGACAAAGGATTGTGCTCGGAGAACCCATCTGAGGTCTCAAGTCTGCTTTCCTATTATGGCTTTGGAAGGAAATAGCGTGTCATCTCTCACCCTCTGCTCCCCTGCACCCCACGGGTCTCCCCGGCTGCGGCTTGGCCTGGTGACGGTGGAAGGTCATTCCTCCACGCTACGGAGCAGAAATGACCCAGAAAAAACACAGGTGCCTTTCAGATGACTGCGACTCTCGGGGCGAGGTGGGAAAGTTGGGGTTATTGGAGAGGACCGCTGCGTTTACGAGGCCTCTTATCTTTATGACAAATGCTCAAATGGAAAGCGAGACGCAATAAGAAAGAAAGCAGCACTCATAATTCCCAGTTCTGGAGTGTGGGGCAGTGCATCAGATGGGCAGCTGGGCCGGCAGGGGGGAAGCCCTTGCAACTCCAAGATTCTCTGTTAAGTCAGGGCCAGAAGACACGGAACTGGGAAATTCTGGTGGGGGATGCTGAGGGAAATTCCCAGAGCCACCCGCATTCCCTCCCCACTCCCCAGCTCTGCCAACTAAACGTGGGGGCTCCTGCTGGCATCAGAAGTACCGCTTCTTCATACAAGTTCTCTCCTTCCATTCTTGGGGGGAAGAACGGCAGGGCGACTCCATGGAAGACCCAAACTGGCAAGGCGGGTGGGCATGAGATGGGCAGCATTGGCGGGGACACAGGAGGACGTCCCGTGAGCTCTGACTTCCCAGGAGGGAAATTGTGTAGCAGCCAGAAATATGAGCAAACTACCCCAAACACAAAAACCCAGCCCCCAACCAAGCAATAAAATAAAACCAGCTGCATAAATTACAAAACAATAAAAGAGGAGTTCTGGTTCTATTGGTTCTTCGATACATTAATATTGCACTACTTTCCTCAAGGTATAGAAAGAAAAACCCGGGGCACTGGAATCAGAGGAACAGGAGCCCCCCTTGTAGTGTTCAAGTCATTTGTGCCTCCTCCCCACCCCGAACAGCTTAGCCACGCTGTCCCCGGGGCAGGCATAAGTCTGTCCTCCAAGCACATAGTTCTGGATCCGAGACAGCATCTGGCTTTAGCTTGCAAGTCTGGCTGGCAGTCCGTCTCCTGAGGGAGCAGCCTAACTTCACAGCCCCTTACCCTGTTCACTGGGAGAATATCGGGGCCGCAGAGGCACAAGGTGCTGTGGGTGCCTGGACGGGGTGCACACAGGCAACGGAGGAGATCTCGCTGTGTTTCTGCTCCCCGCAGAAGAGGGTCCTGGGGCAGGGCCGGCCGCTGCCCTGGCTGCGGGGGTGACAGCAGAAGAGGGTGGCCACCAGCAGGGCCAGGGCGATGATGAAGGTGAGCGTCCACTGCATGATCCCGGGGTAGATGAAGGGCAGGATGAGGACGATGAGCAAGGCCAGCAGGAGCAGGTGTGCCACCAGGCGCCGGGCTGCCACACGGTTGGCACTTGCCACGTCCTGCCCATCCTCTCCTGCCAAGCCGGGGTGCCCTGCTGTCAGGGCGGCGGGACTCACCAGCTCCTGAGGACAGAGCCACACTTCTGGGCACGGCCGGGCGAGCCGCCCCACCACGGCCTCCTGGTCACGCAGGCCGCAGATGAGGCCCCCGGGGACGGCGGTGGCCTTGCGGCACAGCGGGCAGGTGACGGACCAGGTGTCGTTCTGCGGGCACAGCAGGAGCTTCAGGCAGACAGCACAGAAGGAGTGCTGGCAGCCCAGCAGCTTGGGGAGTCGGGCACAGCTGTAGGGCTCCCGGCACACCAGGCACTCCGGGTCGGGACCCACGGAGCCGCGATGACCCCCAGCAGGGCCTGCGGTGTCCGTGGTGGTGGTGGCTCCTGCCGAGAGGGGCTGGGGCTGGTGCGGGGCTGGCTGCTGTGGGGCCTCGGTGCAGGCCATTCCGGGCAGGGGAGCCGGTGGGACCCGGCAGCTCAGGGCCTGGGCATGGACAAGGTGCTGCGGGACCACGTCTGACCTGAGGCGGCGTATCAAGCCTCCTTTTCCTTCTGTTGGGTGCCTGGTGATAACAGCCGTCTGGCACCGCTCTCCCAGGGCTGCTCAGCCTGTCTCTGGGCTTGTGTTGCCCTTCAATTATTATTATTTCTTTGCTAGAGTTAATCAGTAACCAGCAGGCCTGGAGACTTTGAATTACCTGATGGAAGGGCCAAAGTGGGCAGGGCCTATAAGTGAATCAGAACCGTCCAGTTGGGGCCAGGTGCCTCGGGGCAGGTGAATTCCCACCAGCACCGCCACCAGGCCACCCCTGGAGCCTTTTAACAGGCAGAGCTCTAGCCCCCAAACCCAGAGACACACCCGGCAGGTCTGGATGGGGTCTGAGAATCTACAGGTGAACATTGTCGCTCTAACACAGGTGGACTGGGGGCCCCGCTTTCAGAAGCGCTGCCGCAGGCGGTCTCGGACTAAACCTTTTGGATGTCAGGCTCTGTGGGGGCAAATGTGTGTTTGTGCTTTGAACACATTTATGAGCAGGTGGCCCATGAAAAAGAGAGATGGGAACGTGTTCTGAGAAGGTGGGTGAGGGAAGCCCAGCCGAACAGTCGGTTTACAGTTACTGCTTCCCGAGCATCTCATCGGTGCCCTGCGATGCTCTTCACATACCTAAGGACAGGCACCATTAGGGGTGTGCTGGGCACATCACATTGCACAGAACAGCTGCCATTTATCTGGCCGTCTCTGAGGAAGCCCCCTGCCGGGGGTCCTATCTGCGGCCCCTGGAATCCTGGCCCAGTAGAAAGGAGGCCCCGGGGCCTGGAAGCAGAGGCAGGCTGGGTCAGGGCAGGCCTGCTGGCTGCCTGCCAAGGGGCCTTCCACGGGGCAGGAATCTATTGGCGTCCAAGGTCGGGTTCCCAGCCTCTGGTGTCCAGGAACTCAATCTCATCAGTTTGTGTGTGGGCAATAAGCTTCCAGGAAGGTGACTCAAGTTAACAGGACTCCGTGGGACTGAGAGGCAAGCAGCACGGCAGTTAAGAAAACGTAATCCCTTTACCTTGCCCTGAACGTCAGAGGGCGGGTGGGGTGGCACAATCCATTCCCTCAGACAATTGCTTCGCTCAGGACGTGCAGAGCGATTCTTTGCTGCTCAGGTCACCTGTTGAGAGCCACGAAGATTCCAGCTCTTCTGATCCAGCTCTTCCCCACCCCAAGGGGCAGGCAGTGCCCTCTCACTTCACCCTCCCCTGGACCCTCTGTCTCGGAAATCTAATTCTCCCCATCCCCCACCATGGCATCTCTTCTCCTTAGTCTTCAGTTTGACTGTCAATTATTTCTTTCCATTCTGTTTCCCCCAGATCAAGATGAAAGGGATCTCAGGTGGAGCGCTGGGCATCTGTTTTGCCCCCATGCCAAGCACCCGTGTTTCCTTCTACAGTGGCCTGAGTCCCCTTTGGGCAAACATTGCTCCCCACTGTCATTCTGTGTGGTTCCCGGTTCTGTGGAAGCGGGAGGTGATGTGAGGCAGGGAAGACCAATCAGCATATTCTGTCCTGCGGCGATAGCCATTGCTTCAGACATAGGCATCTGATCTAAGCCGAGCCAATAAAATTCAATTCTGGGACTTGTGTTGGGTCTACTAAGAAATTTCTCTGCTTGATTTCCAAACTAGGGGATGGAACTCTGGAGCTGCCAGGACCACTGCATGCAAAGAAACTGCCTAAGAGTAAGGTCAGTGCGTGCACACACACACACATAATAATAATAATAATAATAATAATAATAATAATAATAATAAAAAAAATAGAGAGGAGTCAGAAAAAGTGCTGATGACATTGTTTTAATGCCCAGATCCAGCCATGCCTGAAGCCAGAGCTCTATCTTTGGCTTTTTCCCCGTTATATTAACCTCTAAAATCCACCCCAATATTTATTCTAGAGCCAGTGTCAGTTGGACTTCTGCCCCTTGCAAGGGAAATTGTAACATAGCAAGAGATGAAGAAGCCTTTATTTGCTGTCTGACTCAGGGTCAAACATCAACCAGACAACCAGCCTGCACGTGGCCAAGAGTGAGCCAGTGCCTGTGTGTCCCAGACTAAAAGATACGGTTTCTCTTCTCTGCTTTGACTGGCACTTTATAATGCTCCTTTCTGTTTGCTAAGCCCTGGGGAAAACTGGGCATAGGAAGAGAAAATATTTGTTGAGCTGCATTCATTTATACTGAGAAATAGAGATCCCAGTGGTCAATACGGTGACGTCAGCTTGGCCTGTGCCCCTCTTCCGCTGGCCAGCTCTATTGGAAGCCAAATAATCAGGAAGATAGCTGGGTGAGGTCGAAGTCAGACCAAGGGCAGTTACTTTGGGTTAGTGTCTAAAGAATAACCGTGTGAAATTGTTGGGAAAAGACAGTGAAGAAAATACATTGATTATAACCATCCAAATATTACAGAAATACATTAAGCGGAATGTGAACCTTTCTTTGAGAAAGTTCCATTCCCTGAGAAACGACGGCTTTTAACAGCCTGATCCTTCATGTGGCCCCATCCTACCACCTTGGGACATCACTTTGTCCCTTCCAGGTGCCTGGGCTTAACTGGCTTTATAGCTGGATATCTGGCTCCTGTCACTTTACTAGTTGGGTGGCCTTGAGGGAGTCATTTCCATCTCATTGAGGCTCCGTTTTTAAATTTGATGAAACGGAGACAAATACACTGTAGGGAATTGTGGGCGATTACTTAACCCTGCACCTCCATCCAGACCTGCTCAGGGGAGCTCAGTAATGTATGCACCTGGCTTTGTAAGTGACCTCAATGTAACTGATCCCTGCAGGGACACGAGATAAGACACTTTGGTGATCTGCTCTTCCAGTACTTTTTTTTTCTTTAAAAAAATTAAATTTGTCTTTATTGTTGAAAGTATTACAGATGTGCCCCTTTTTCTCCATTGACTCTCCCCCCATCCCCCCACCCCCAGTGCTTCTTAAGGAGCAGTGAATGTGGGCAGGATCTGGAGCACAGCCTGGAGCAGGTCTGTCCCCGGAGAAGTACACCCTGTCTCCTGAGCCTTAAAATGTTGAATTCATTTAGATTCCTCATTCTTGTCTGTGTTATATTTGTGCTTGCTGTAACATTATAATTCAAAAACTCAGAGTCCGATCCAAATCTCCAAATAAAACGTGTTTGTTTTTTAATTGCTATACAAATATGAACTCATTAATTCTCAGTACATTTTTCCCCCCTTTGAAATGCAATTTCTTTCATCCTGTGACTTCAAATACTCTGGGGGGGGGGGGGGGGGGTTATAGGAGGAGTTTGAGAAGCTCAGTCTCAAGCTGGGTTAGAATTTCACACCCGGCTACCAGTGGGGAAATCGGAGCCCAGTTCTCTTGAAATGGACCACTCAGAACTCCTCCTGTGCTGGTAACCACAGACCCACACCTTCCAAAAGACACTTTGGACCTGAGTTTTAGGCTCTGCATCAAGTTCATTGGGAAAGGAGTGAGGGAGCAGCAATGTCAAGAGGTCAAGCTGTCAGATCCATGCCTGGTCTTTGATCTTGACAACCCACTCTCACTCCACACTCCAGTAGCTGCAGAGAGCCCTGTCCCAGCCAAATGCCCATCACCCAAGCCTTATTCCAGAGTTCCGACCTCTGGGCTCCTGAGGACCCTGCTGGCCACACCTCCATCCCTCTCAAAGCACCTGTGTGTCTGAGGATGGATTGGTGGGGGAGACAGAGGAAGAGGATAAGGAACCAAACTGACAACAACAGGACAATGAAGATCAAGCGTGGAGGGAGGGAGGTGAAATGATGCGAAGAGAAAGTGCCTTAGGTACCAACTGCAGGAAGTTGGAAACTGCACTTGTTTTATTTTTCTGCTTTTAAGAATAATTATGTTTTTAAAAAACCATGCTTAATGTAAGAAAAAAAGGAATCACTGATGATCATAAAGAGAAGGGCATCAGTAATCAGCGATCTCAGAGCCCACAGAGAACCAGCTCTAATTCTGATATGTGCCTTTAGACTTCTTTCATTGCATACCTGCACAAAACCCTTTCTTTCATTAAAACTGGACTCTGCTACTTATATTTCGGTAATGTGCGTTTTACTTAATAGCTTATCTTACATCTCTTTTGCATATTAATAAATACACTTCAAATCATTCGTGAAGGTTGTTCTGTCATATGAACATAGCATATTTTATCTAATCAGCTCCCGTGACAGGAATGCTGAGTCTTTCCTCCATTTTCCACTGTTACTAACAGTCCTGTGACGGGCATCCGTGGACATGTGCTTCTCATATCCTGCCCTTTCAAAGTTGCAGTCTGCGTGTTATCTCCTCTATCTGCCTTTTTGGCTCAGAGCATCTGGTGGTTTAGGTCCCAAACTTTAATCTACGCTGAGTTGTTTATGAACTTGATTTAAGGCATGAAGGTTGGGAACTATCATTGATGAGCGATAGATGAAACCACTTTTGTCCGACTCAGAATTATCAAATTGCATCTACTCCCAAGGTTACAAACCAGGTAAGGAACCCGTAGGTCCATATTTTTTTCCTGTATTTGAATAAAGTTTACAGAGAGCTCAGCCTTTATTCCATCTGGTTGTTATGGGGGAGCAGGAAGATGGGACTGTGTCCTAAACCGCTGGGACCAGTGTGCCCGGAGCTAGATATGTGGCATTGCGAAGGGAACGTCACCTTCCTAAGCCTCACTGAGAATGAGAGGCGCGACTGGAGTGCTCCCCAGTCCCCCCATGGTCCTCCAGCTCTGGTCCTGCGTGCGCGAGCACAAACACACACACACACACACACACACACACACACACACACACACGGAGGCTCCTCCAGCGGCAAAAGGCTGCCCCTGAGACCAAGGCCAGTCGGTCCACATTTTTTGAGTTCAGAATGATTCTAGAGTCCAGACCCATTTCCCTCCCAGCCCCTATCTCTTTCTAGTTCAGACTTCAACTTGAAACTCATCCTTGACCTACTTCTGTCTCTTGGGACCCATGTAGCATGTCTTTAAGACTCCATTCTCTTAACTGTTCCTTTAATTCCATGCAGCTAAGCCAGTGGCAAAGGGAACCCCACCTATGCACCTGACCCAG